ATTCATTTTTGGCCGATTGACACCAAATCACAGCCGATGATGATTCCCTCCAGCCGGTGGCATCCCCCAACATCCAGTGAGCACATCCTGAGACTTTGGCAGCCTTCAGAGGAGCAGAGCAGGCAAAACAGAGGCAGCTTGTGCATGGCAGTGGACTTCCGGGCAAAACCGAGCATGCATTACATTGGGCTCTTTTCCCGAGGCCGTTAATCGCTTTCTTAGATTAGTTGATTTGCTTAACTAATTTAGTTGGTCTATAATAATTAATTAGCTAGGATAGTTGGTTTGTTATTCGGACTGTATTATTCTTTCGGACCCTCCGAGCGAGGGCAATTATGTAATAAGTGTGGGTGCGTGTGTGCATGTCTTCCAACCCCCACTTCCTTCTCCCTTTTACTTCCCGCTTTGATGGCTAGTATTAGGACATGTTTACTTTAGCATACCTTATGCTATGCATGCGTGCATCATTCATCAATATTGCACGCACCGGGCTCGGCGCATCATGCTAACTGCATCGTATTTCAAATCTGACTTGAATACATACTATTTGTGCATTTTCACATGTCATTCATAGACTAGCTGAGCTTGCTCTAGTGACATTCTGTATGCGTTGCATTAGCCATTTTAACATGAACTAGGATCATGCATGTGATTACTAACTAGTTTTTGTTTTGGCTCGGAGTACTCAGTAAGCATTTATGCTTTAGCATGCCGCATGCGTGTGAGTGTTGCCATAATAGCATGATTACCATGAGGCTAGATGCTTATGTGATATAAACTGCTTGAATTCCTGTGGGTGATGGTTAGATTGTTTGAGTTGGAACAACTCGTTAAAATCCGTGCTTTAGCCTACTTGCGAGTAGCAAATTTCAAACTGTTTTGTAAACAAACGGATATGCAATGCTTCGTTCCAATTCAGGCGATTTGGTCTATACTTGTTTGCTGTGCGCATAACATAGTAATTCTAGGCTAATAAATGGAATAAGAACACATAACGTTTTCAAAAACGGATATCACGGTTAGTAGAGGCCGATCTTCGGATCGGGCGAGAGGGGGTGCTCATAGCTGACCTTCCCCAATCGTACCCTAGCTCCCGAGCCGAGGCAACTTTGGTGATGACGGACATGTGGCCTTTGGCACCGAGTCAGGGTTTCCTAAATTCCTCCTTAAAAAAAATATATTTAGGTGGCGACTCTGTATCTGGCAAAGCAGTCCATGTTTGGCACTTCTTTTCTAAAAATCTGTTTTCTCAAAACGATTTGCCGGATTTGGACTCTTTTGGTTCAGATTAAGAACCGTGACACAAATTGAGTCCGAACTGTAGCACGAAAGCCTCACGCGGGCGCGTCTACAATAAGCTACAGCAAATCTATGCAACATATGAAGAAAAGATTGAAACTCTCGAGATGTCTCAAGTTGCTTTAGAAGAACTAATGATCAAGAAAGAGGAAGAGCTCAAGTGTGCTATGGCTACCATTGGTCTTTGGAACAGAGGATCAAAGACTTTAGACAATATCATTGGGTCTTAACAAATTTGTTTTGACAAGAGTGGCATTGGCTTTGGTGGTAAGAAAGAGCAAAAACAGAGTGCTTCCACATCTCATGGTACAAGAACTCAAGGGCAAGGGGAGCACAAGGCTCAACAAGAGGAAAGACTTTTCAATCTTCCTAAAGTTGGTAAGGTCAAAGAAAAGAAGGTACACCATGTACACCCTGTTTTTATTTGTCATCATTGTAGTATGCATGGTCATATTCGCCCTTATTGTTATCAGTTGCATGGCAAAGTGTCTCGTAAACATCGAAGAAATTCTAACATCTCATGGGGTAAGAGACACTTCATTGGTTGTAATGAGGTTAAGGGTCATATTAGACCTCGTTATTTTGATTTGCTTGAGACCAATCGTGAACAGAGGTTTTGTTTGTCTAGTCCTACGAATAGGAAGTTGGAAACCAAGTCGAGACGGGTTCTCATTGAAAGCAAAGGGAACCACAACATCAAGACACCACCCAATAACTGCAATTCTCACAACTTTGTTCATACTAAAGCAGTTTAGGTGAGAAAACTTGACTGGTGCTAATTTGTTTATTCATTTTAGTTTTTAGGTTTCTGGTTGGGTTTTTTTTTTTTTTTTTTGGGGGGGGGGGGTCATTTAATGTGTGCCTGTTCGTTTTTTGTATTACTTTGTTTAGAAAAATAAAAAATAAAAAAAAAAATCCAAAAGATTTTCTTAGTATGGTTTTGCAAGCTTGAAATTTTTGAGTGGTCCTTGGTGCAATTAGAATTGATAAGAATATCCATTACATGTTAATATATGTGTGCTTTCTGTGGTCATTACTCATTTTGGAGTGTGTTTTTTTATTAGTATGTCTCATTCTGTACACACTCTTGGATTAGCAAATTTTGGAGTCTTCTGCCTTAGTGATCATTTTTCTCAATGGACTTCTGTCATTGTATCTTTTGCTTTTCTAGAGGAATTGACCTATACTAGCATATCATGGGTGATGTTGAGTCTCTTAACCATCTTCCATCTTTTTGCATCTACATGGCTTTCCCCTCTGTTCTTTGTAGTCCAGGCATGAGGAAAAGGCTACCCCAGAGTCACCAACCAGGCCATCCTTATTATATCCATGCTTCTTTGGTTCGGTTTCCATACTCTTGAGCGTGTCAGCCGCCAATGAGTGTGCAAAAGAAAGAAAAAATGTGAAAAAAAAAAAAAAAAAGAAGGATGTGCAAAAGAAAGAAAAAAAAAGGATGTGCAAAAGAAAGAAAAGAAAAAGATTTTTAAAAAAATTAAAAAAAATAAAGGATTCATTGATTGAGGGGAAGCCTCCGCTTTTACTTACCAAATACCGCTTGATTCCTAGTGGTTTGACTTTCCTTAGTTGTGCTTAGATTCTCTTGTCAAAAGTCCAGCTTTCATATCACTACTAGGATTTGAATCTAGTGTTTGTCGAACCCCAAGAGTCAGACACACACTTTTTTCATGTGATCTATGCTTTTCATGTAATGCATCACTTTCTTTTATGAGGAATCTTCTAGAGGCTGTGCACATTATGTTTTCAAGTAGCTTCTTGGATAATCTTGTGTGTTTCAAGGTATAAATCTGAAATTCCTTACTTGCTCCACTATATTATTTTTTGTCGTTTTCTTCTTGTTCATTGTTTTTAGTGAGAGGGAGTTTGGTTTATCATTACAAGAGTTTGTTAGCATGAACACTTTGATTTGTTTGATAAGGGAGATTGGCTTTAGTTGTTTTGCATGTTACTATGCACTGTTTGCTTATTATTTCCTTCTTGCATGCTCCTGGTATTTACATCGTCATATCATTGTTTGTGTGGTTTATGATCTTGCTTTTATTGTTTGAGAGTTGTTTTTCACGAGTCTTAGTTTTCATCTATTCATGTTTTTCATCTCATGTTTCAAGATAATCGTGTCATATGTCTATTGCTTTTTCATATACTCTTGTGGGACTAATAGTTGTTTTAGAGATTGTGGCACTAATAGTTGTTTTGCAGATCATGACCTTGAGAAAGAAGGTTGTTTTTATTGGCTGTAAGGGTTAGGGTGTTTAGGATTTTATTTGTTAGGTCTGTTTTGTCACGGCATTGCCAAAGGGGGAGACTGTTAGGTTTTTATTCTTGGCAATCCCATTTGACAAAACTCCTTTTAGTTGTATTTGTTTTCGCATTTTTATTTCAGTGAGGTTATAAGTTTTTAGATGCGAATCCAATCCGAATTGTGCCTTACTGAGAAGTTTGTGATGTTAATGCTTTCAAGATTGCCACTTCGCTGATTATGAAGGGGATCGAGCTGCCCGATCAGCTCACGTGGGTCTGGGGCAGTGCCCAGGCAGGGTCGAGGGGCAGCACCCCAGAAGAAAAATGCAAAATTGCATTCAAAGTTGCTTGTCCGCCCTTGCTCGCTCGAGCAAAGGAGCTCTCGCTCGAGCAAAGGCTGCGTCTGTGTAAAAACCTGAAAGAAATGATTTTACGCTCGAGCGCAGTTTGTTTGGCTCGAGCGAAGCCACTTATGGAAAACACACGTTTTTGGTTCCTCGCTCGAGTGAGAGAGTTTTCGCTCGAGCGAGCATCGCGATTATGATTTCTATAAGTACGTGTTTCTGTCAGATTTTAGGATTACTCATCCAGATCTTCTTCTTGGATATTAAGGTTTATATCTAGGGATATTTTGCTAGTTTTCTTTGATGTTTTGATTGAGTATTCAACTCATGGTTTAAAGAGTATACATCAAATAATTATTTGTTTGTTCTATACAAAAAAGAGTTGTTCTTCGGTGGATTCTGAAGAATTCGAGCATGAAGCTTTGGTAATTCTGGAGTGGCTCATTGTCAAGACAATTCCGAGGTGATGACGGGGTTGGAAGAGACACATCGTCAACACCACAAATATACAGTCTAGCTCTACCAACAAAAACCAAAAAATGTCTTGGTGAAGAACCTTTATGCAGTTTAGTTGAAGAAATTTCATGTAATTATTAGAATAAAAACATTGGAGAGATCACACAAGCTTTTCTTAAACTCAAGTTAGAAAATAGAAATTCCCAACACAAGTTCTTTTAACATTGCTCCATTATGTTATCTGGGAATGAGAAGCAGAAACTTATTGGTCTATGATCAATAACCCTCTTGGGCTCTTTAAATGATGACATGGGACAATTCCAGTGAATGAAATTTCTTTTTGAATGGGAACAAATTTCAATGGTCTAACTCAATAAGCTCAAACTAGAAAGTGTAAACTTATACCTTGTATTTCTTTTATTGAATACTGTTTGACTGATGAGAAAATTGAAAAAAAGAAGAATTGGTCTTCCATGAGTACAAATTAGGCACACTAAGTTATATGGATTCTGGATGCTTCTGTGTATTTAAATCTCATGTATTCTTAAGTTTCTATGATGTCAACATGCAGTTTTTAAGATTAGAGTGAATAGATCTTGACGATAATGCTACTAAGACAATAAAATTAACTTCTAACCACCATTATTTCTGCAACCAAATAGAACAAATTTGCATATTTCATAGTAACATAGCAAAGATACCAAGTTTAACCTTACAAACTCAAACAACATGATAATGTCTTGTTTTTGAATCAAATTATGCTAACAAAGTTTTTGTGTTTTTGTTTTATTTTACTATATATATAAACAACTCTGAACAAAAATATTGGCTTCCAGGTTACCTAACACCTTCTCTTTTGGGTAGTTGATGAGATTTGTTTTATATCAGAACTAGTGAAGCAACAAGGACTTGCGTAAACTTCTTTAATTTATTAATGTAACCCTAACTCATAGTTTCTTTCACCACAAATGGTCCATAACATTTACAACATATCATTCATAACATAATCACTAAGGTTTTTAACTTTCACTTTAAGGTGAACACCATAGATTCTCCATTCATAACTTTTTCGCAACATTCTTGACAAAAAATAGAAACTTTCTTACCAACTTTTTAGGTTGACACCATAGATTTCTCCTTAATAATAACATCAACAAATTACGAAAAGAAGAAAGCTATGACTCTCTCTCTCTCTCTCTCTCTCCACCTGTTATTAACCATTTTAAAGGAATTACTAATATTAATAACGGTTATTTCAATCTGCAGATGATCACTGTGAACGTGTGACAATTTTAGAATTCGACAAGAATAAAATAACATATTTTCAAATTTCTTTTTTTATATCTTTTCCATTCAATCATTGCGCATTTAGAACCATTCCATCCAACCACATCACAAGGAGATCAAAGCCGTGAAGAATGTGAGATTAATGTATCCTCCCTGATGATGAGATCAACAAATGATAGAGTTTAGCTATGACTCTCTCTCTCTCTCTTCCTGTTATTAACCATTTTAAAGGAATTACTAATAGTAATAACGGTTATTGAAATCTGCAGATGATCGCTGTGAACATGCGACAATTTTAGAATTCGACAAGAATAGAATAACGTATTTTCAAATTTCTTTTTTTATAGCTTTTCCATTCAATCGTTGCGCATTTAGAACCATTCCATCCAATCACATCACAAGGAGATCAAAGCCGTGAAGAATGTGAGATTAATGTATCCTCCCTGATGATGTGATCAACGAATGATAGAGTTTGTTCACTGAGGCTACGTTCTTCTAAAACTTATGTCCAAATCTAAGTAGGTTGTAACTTATGTTCCAATCCCATGTTGTTTTGTGAAGTCACGTTTTCAATTAGTATATTGCCAAAAAACTCATGAATGATACTTGCAGTAGTCAAAAGGGATTTACTGGAATGCTCTGGTATAGCAGGCAGAGAAAGAGGTGTAAACATCCATTTCTTGTTAGCCCTTAACCAACAATGTAACAAAGACCAGCTTAAAAGACAACGTAAGCATCATCAAAATTATGATAGTAGCATGAAAGATCAACAATCTAACAAATACTCACCAGAGGGAAAATGAGATTGTGTTACTAAAGGGACATACCATCTACATGAAGAACACAGATCATACATTACGGAACTCTGAACAAAGGTATTATCTTAGAGAACCATGATGATGATTACATAAAAAAAATAAAAAAAAACAACATAGTAAGTTTCAAAACAAGCATCTATAAGAAAAACAAAAACATACCGGCTCCAACATGTTAGATATCTCAAACGGGGATAGACTTTCAACCAATTGATAAGTTTGAGAACAAGGATAACGGTGAAAAATTGATGCATGAAAGTTAAGTAGAGGCAAATGATCAAGAAGCACCCTCGATATCTTGCCCTTGAGATCATAATAAACTACTTTGCCAGTAGTAGCTAACACCAACGCAAAATCATTTTCGCTGACTCCCTTCACAACACAGAGCACACGAAATGTGTATCTTCTGCTTCTGTCATCTAGGTCTATCTCAGGGAATACAGAACTTAAGGGTCTAAGATTGACGCGGCATTTCACGATCCAATGGAAGGAGATCCTGTCCATCTCAAGGATTCTGAATCCCATAGCATTTCGCAAACGCATCTGAATAAGAAGCAAATGGCCACCACATACCCCAAAATACCTAGTCTTGTCCACAGAAAGAATTTTAGGACTTGGAGGATTATGGGTTTTGATGAGCTTCTCTTCATCAACGTCAAATTTAAAGTGAACATCCTCGTGACTCAACCAATGGATTGCCCCATTCCAAAACACACCTTCAAGGCAATCACGTAGTGGTTCACATTCACCGACAGTAATCTGTTTCCAAGACGCAGTCTCGGAAGAGTAGATATCAAATTGATAACAGGGCTGAAAGAAAACAACTTTGTAGTGAGGTGATTTTGTAGGATCAAAAGCCAAGTAAACATCCAATGATTCATATAAAAGACTTACGCTGTGTTTGGTTGAGGGATTTGGGGAGTGATTTAGAAAGGGAAAGGAAAAAGGTGTGTGAAACTATGTGAAATGTAAGCATGTTTTTTTTACATTTCACCTACGTTTTCCATTTCTCTTTCCAAATCCCTCCTCAAATCCCTTAACCAAACACAGCATTAGACAATCAAGTTGAGGAAGTAGAGTGAATTTCTGGGTGGTTGGATTACAAACAACATATTTTTTTCTAAAACGATTACAAACAATTTGATAGTTCTGGCACAAAATTAAACCGTTGCAAGCACTTCTAATCCAAAATGGATGATCTCCTCCAACATCGTCGAGGAAGGAGAGAGTGGGAAGATTGCGATTTGGGTGCGCGTGAAGCGAGACAGAGTGAAGCTCTGAACGAGAATAGTCGTAGTAGAAGAACAAGCAAGAGATCATGGAGGAATTGCGAATTCAGCGAGAGTGGTTCAAGGCAAAGTGAGAATCGGAGATGAGATTGAGCCAATTCTTGGAGACGGACTTGAATCTGAGAATCTCTATAAGGAGATCTTCATTGCTCGCAATTACTTCTTCTGACGCCGGTGAGCTTTCCGATGAAGTAGAACCGATCATCGCCTTTCTTCTTCTTTTGCTGTATGCTTCCTTCGTCATTTTCGCATAGGCACAGATTGTGATTATAGTGAATTAGGGTTCGTATACGGGGAGTAAAGTGTAAAGTGGAAATAGCTTGAAAGGTGCTGTTCGAAAAAAATACTTGGAGTTACTTATTCTTGTATTTTAATAAATTTTAGAAATATTATTTTGGATTTTTTTAATATATTTTGAACTTATTAAAGTATAAGAATATTTTATGAATTAATTGATATAATTTTATATCTTATGAGTCATAATTAAAAAATATATATATCATAACTAAACACAACATGAGGCGTAGCTAAAATATTTATTAGTTATAACTAAAATAATATCATAATTAAAGAAGAAAATTAGTTATAACTAAAAAAGAAAATGACATAAGTAAAAGTGTATATAGTATACTTTTTTTAATGGTGTGTTTATTAGAATTTTCCGATAATAAATTATAGTATCTATATAATTTTATATTAGACTATGTGGTGAGAAGTGATATGTTTGGATTAGGGCTTTAAGGTAAGTAAAAAATGAAAAAAAATAAAAATAAAACAAAACCAATTTTGTCTTATTACATTAAAATTTAATTTTAACTCTCCAAAAAGACATATGAGAATGAGATATACTTTCCGTTAATTTGAATAGAAAATATAACTGTTGTGTTTTAATTTAAGATCTTATGAAAGGCATATAACTATGTTTAAAAGACAAATAGGTAAAATGGTAAATTATAACTTAACCCCCTGTGGTTTACCCAAAAAATACAGAGCCCCCTTATAGTTTTATTTGTAATACTTAAACCTCCTATACTTCATACCAAAGTGTAATTTTGGACAGACGTAACAGAAATTGTAAAAAGTCTAAATTGTCCTTATTTATTTCTCTAATTTTCTTCTTAATGCCGTTATAAAGCACCAATTAACAAACTGTACAGTCCGTTTGGTCTTGATAGTGGCAACGGCTGCAATAACATCCTTTGGAACAACATCTCCACGGTACATCAAGCAGCAGGCCATATATTTCCCATGCCTCGAATCACATTTTGCCATCATGCTTGCAGGCTCAAACATTGAATTTGTGATCTCAGGTATAGATAGCTACTCATGATATGCATTCGTAAATGGTTTCATTGTTCAAAAGCACAGCCACATCTGTGTGCTCGGGGAGAGAGTGCGTAGAAAGAACACTGTTATAAGGCTCCACAACTGCAGTAGAGACCTGCAATGAACAAAGTTAGTTGCACCTAAATCAACAGAACCATAGCCAGAATGACAATGTTTCTAGTCACAACTTTGATTCACATATTGAGCAAAATTCATTTCATTTTTAACAGGTAGCAGGAGTGATTTTTTTTTTTTAATTTTTTAATTTTTATATCAACCACAGGTAGCAGAGGTGTTGATATTTCACTGAAACTCAATTAAAAAGAAGAAAAGTTTTTCAACTTCATGTTAACTAGTATTATTCAAGTTTTATGTCGATTAAAACAAATAATAATGCTATGACAGACGTCACTGAAATCATGACTACCTTAACAACTCCATTTGAGATTTGTATGAGGAACTGAAGAATCTAGCATTGATAAGGCAGCATGTAGACACCTGAGGAGAAGGATAAATGGTGAACCCAAGCTTTGACTTCTTTTTCTTTCTCTCTCTCTCTCTCTCTATATATATATATATATTCTCTCTCACCGTGACCACCATCATCACCACCATTGCCCAGCTCCGTCAAAACCAAGAACCACCCTTTACAAAGTGCTATAGATGAAGCAAAAGAAGAGAGTGGATGATGACAAAGAAATAAATAAATTTGGAGATGTTTCTTTGAAATGTGTGAAGTTAGTTTTCGGATAAATTTTGGTATGTTGAAACCACCCATTTCAGAAAGAAGTGAGAAAACGAGGTAGCATAGGATGAAGTATAAAGCAAGGTGATGAGATTGGTGAAAGAATGGGATAAAATCGTTAAGAATCGAGAAAGTTATAGAGTCTGAAAGATGGGTCGCAGAAATGTCAAAAACGGGTTGTTTGATTTCATGGGTTGGGTTTGTTACTTATTTGAATTATAAGAAGAAAAAATGGGTTTGGTTAGTATGAATCCAATCAATGCTATTTCAAAAATCTAAATATTTACACATATTAATTGTTTGATTTCATGGGTTGGGTTTGTTGCTTATTTGAATTATAAGAAGAAAAATGGGTTTGAATAATTTTTGGAGAGAGAAGTTGTTATAGTGATTTTGAGTGGTGGTTTTGCATGGAATAAGAAGTTGGTTGTGGATAATTTTTAGAGAGAGAAGTTGTGGTGGTGATTTCGAGTGATGGTTTTGTATGGAATAAGAAGTTGGTTGTAGTTTTGCATTGAATATGATGGTGGTGATGTTGGTTGGTTGTGATTTTGCATGAAAGGTGATGGTGATGAGATGAGAGAAGAAATAAAAGGTGACGGTGGTGGTTTTGCATGGAAAGTAATGGTGTTGTATATTTATATAATGTGAGAGAGAGAGAGAGAGAGAGAGAGAGAGAGAGAGAGAGAGAGAACCTGAGGTAAATGAAACAAACAAAAGGGTGTTAATGCTTGAGGTAAATGAAACCCATGCTCAAACACTGAATTTCGTTTGGGGATAAAGATGTTAATGGTTCACCAAGAGTGTAATCCATGCTCTATTGCACTACATCATTCTGTGTGTATATATGGCAATAAGGGTGTTTTGGTCATTTGTTATATATTTTTGGGTGGGAAAAATTGTTCCACTCACCATTCATGGTCGTACAGCAAACATTCTGTTCAAACAAACAGTTCCGTCAAAAATTACACTTGGTATGAAGTATAGGGGGTTTAAGTGTTACAAATAAAACCATAAGGGGGCTCCATGTTTTTTAGGCAAAGCACAGGGGGTTAAATTATAATTTACCCTAGGTAAAATGTTATGGGATTATACTACAACAAGAGTATAAAATTGATTTTATACCTAATAATAATAACATGAAAGATAAGTGAGTGTGTGCTTTAGTGCGAATGAAAATAGTGACCTCGTTTGGGAAGTTAACTATTTTAGTAAGTTATTTTAGTTTTTGATTATTTAAATAGGATAAAAATTTTATATTTGGGAAGATGATTGGATTTTTTTTATAATTGAATGTGATATTTGCAAGAAAAAAAGTGAAATGATTATGAGTTTCATGTGACATTTTGTCTTATTAACTATTTTAACTTATTTTTATCTTTTTATAAATTTTAACCAAAAAAAAAAAAAATTCTAAAACCCACTTGCCAAACAGGGCCACCACTTGCTCAAAAACATATACCATACTCAAAATTATTTTGAGAGTTGGGCTTCTCTTCTTTTAAAAGGACTAGGTTGCAAGGCCGGCCCTAGGGCATAGGCCACAAAGCCATGGCCTAGGGGCCCTCAAAATAGACTTTAAAAAGGGGCCCCCTCCTATTATAATTTAGTATAATATATTATGTATGTTTTAAGTCTAAAAAAAATTAAAAAAGGCCCAAACTAACCTAAAATAAATTCAACCATTAAAAAATTGAAAGGCCATTCAAAAAAATTAGCATTGTTATCCATTGAAAATAGACCCAAAAAAGGGGTATCTCTTATTATAGTTTAGTCTAATATATTAAGTATATTTTAAGTCTAAAAAAAATTAAGGAAGGCCCAAATTAACTTCAAATAAATTAATCCATTAAAAAATTGAAAGGCCCATTTAAAATAATTAGCATTGTTATTTATTGAAAATGATTTTGTAAAAAAATTAGATTATGCAAGTATGATCGATTTATTTGCTTCTAAAAATACAAGAAAAGCGAGGATCAAACGATACTTATTAGTTATTGTAATATAATGGTAAGTATTTTTTGTGATTTTGACACAAATCTTTTGTCCTTTACTTTCAATTTTTTTTTTTTCATTCAATGAAAAAAAAAATGTGAAGGGCCCCTGAAATTTATTAGTTGATTATCGGTTTTGGGCCCCGAATATCTCAGGGCCGGGCCTGCTAGGTTGTCTAGTTCAGCTTATGGACTTATCAAGTGTTTTATTTCAGTAAAAAATACAATAAAATCTATATATTTATTCTTAAAATAAATAAATAATAAAAATGACTTTAAATGGGATGTTCGAGCCAAAAATTCAAAATTAGATTTTCGTTAGTTAGAGGTTCAAGTGCTGATTTTCTTTGTCCTGAAGGACAAGCTTGTATAAAATGACCACATTATCCAATATATATTTATATATATGTGAATACACGTGAATAAAAAACCAAAGCCTACTCTCTCTCTCTCTCTCTCTCTCTCTCTCTCTATGTAATAGAAGAAATTAAATTTGAGAATAATATATGATTGAGAAAATATAAAATAATAATTTTTTTTAATATAAAAATAAATAAGTAATGGAAATTGTTAGGAAAAACATTCCATTTATGTCAACTTTAAAAAAAAAAATCAAATAATACATGTATTAATTCAAATGATAAATTTTATGTTGTTTATGTAATATGAACTAAATTTCATATTAAATTATTAGGATTTTATCTAAAATTAATTTTAGAGAGATTGTTTATTTTTAAGTATTTTATCAATGAAAATTAAGTTCTTTTTGCCATTAAATGATTTAATAATGCCTTAACAATTTAAGAATTTTGTTTAATATTGCATGAAATTTAAGAATTTTATTAAATAATGCTAAAATATGTATGTGTCTCTGATGATATATATGCTAAACCTCAGGGGAGGTGTATGCAATTTTTCATTTGAAATGATACGGTAATTGATGAGCCATTTCATCATTTTTAGTATTATAACTTGTGACATCAACATGATATTAGCAAATTCGGTTAAATAACGTAATAGAAGGTAATAGTGGGGCATTCTTGATAATAGTTTCAAAAATAACAGAAATTAATATAATTATTGAAACCACATAAAAGGTCCTTCTAATTGTTAGAAATTTATCCAAAGAAAAATGTTTGAGACCTCAAAAAGATCTTACAATTATACCCATAATGATGT